AAATTATAATTTAATAGAATTATCACTTTCTATTTACAGATATTCTCTTTTATGCGTTTAAAATATCAGGATACCGTCAAAGACAAAAGAGAATGAAAAAATATGAAACAATTAATACACACATGATCCTAGAAATACAGTTTTGTATCATAAGTAACAAATTAGACTTGATATTTATTTAAAGAAAAAAGGACTTCTTTTGTTGTTTTATTCCAGGTTAAAAATATGAATTATTTAATAGCCAACAAATTATAGTCCAGGAAAGCTAAATAGATTGACACAACGTTGTGCGAAAGAGAAAAAAATCTAATGAATGTACTCGAAATTGAGAAAATTTGAAAATTCTTCTTTCCGAATGTGAAAGAAGGTCCGATCGTTTTTGTCAGAGTTTAAAGAAGAATTTTTACTAAATGTTTTCCCGAATATACTTGTTGAACATTTGTAATTTTGAAATCAATTAAAATTTTTATAAATTGAAATAATTGATATTTTAAATTGTTGATTTTTTTTTAGCTACTTACTTGGAAAAACATGTGATGAGGCTACTGTAGCGCAAAATTAATTGATAAAAGAAATTTTGTAAGTCATAAAGAGATTTATAAATGATTTTACTTTTTTTAAAATAGAATTTTTAATTAAAAATGTTTTCAAAAAAGTTTTATTTCAAAATTTTTTTGACTCGTTTTATGGACGTCTAAAGCGAGTTTTAGATTTTTTAGAGTTTTTTTATATTTTACTTTTTGACTATTTGTAGTTATTTGAACTAAGTGAAAATTCATTTGAAATTAAATTTTGATTTATTTTGGTATAAGGTTAAGCTTATGCATTTTTGACTGTAAAATTCGTGTTTTAATTCAAAGGGAGAAATGAGGATTTAATATTGTAAATCGACTATTAACTCATAGACTAATTTCTATTATTTGATTTTTAATTTTTAAAAAGTAATACACGATCTTTTTCTTCACGATTGCCAATTTGTCTACAACTTGACGATTTGAAACAAAGTTCAGTTTTTATTTGATTAAATGTGTTGTTTTTTAACTTTGATTTTATTTAAATCAAATAAGAAATTATATTTGCATCATCGAACTAAACTAGTGTTAAATGGTTTAAAAGAAAATGGTACTAGTCAAAGCTGCTTCATCTCTGATTTTAAACAATCAATTTTATGAAAATTCATGAAACATACATTTTCGTCACGCGCCTAAAGCTAGTTTATGAGTGCCGTTCCTTACGTTAAAATAAAATTAATCTAAAGAGCGTTGTCTGTCTTTTATTTATCCAGACCGTTTTTTGAACAAAAGAAAACATTGATGCAATAAGTGGAGAATCATGTGGAAGTGGAACATCCACGGTTGTGCAATTAATTAAAAGATTTTATGATCCTCTGAACGGGCATGTAGTAAGTTTCTCAGATTTAGTTTGGTTGGGTTTTAGCAAGAGCTACATTTCTGTTGCTGAGAAGCAATAAACTTAGCTATTTTAGAATACTTGCATCATCGAACTAAACTAGTATTAAATGGTTTAAAAGAAAATGGTACTATTATCCGTTTCAGAAGTCAAGGCACTCAGATGTTTTTTGAATAACTTTTGATACAAACAAGATGAAGACTTGCGGTTTTCACCATTCGAAAGAAGAAATTTGGATGCATGTTTTCATAACCAATATCGTTTATCCTGAGAATTTGAGCTTGTTCTGACGTTTTTTAAGTGAAGAGTGAATTTTTTAATATTAGGTGAAAACAGCCTAAAAATCCTAATTTTCGTAAAACTGACTTTTCGGTAGATGTTTACAACTTTTGCTAAAATAAATATTTCCACGAAACTCAGGATGGTCGATTACCCATCGTCCATCAGTTTTTAAGGCTACTAATAGTCACCAGGTGCCAGTTCTTGGACTTGTAGAAAATTCGATACAACGCCCGAACCGTGGAAAATCAAGGTCTCACTTTACTCCCATTTTGAAGAGGACACCCTGAGCTATCAGTACATAAGAAAAAAGCAATACAATCCTATTATAAAATCAAGAGAGACGACGAAAATCTTTATAGACGAAAGAGCGTCGTCTGTCTTTTATTTATCCAGAACGTTTTTTGGACAATGTGAAAGCTGTATAACCATTCTCTTTTTTAGACACATAGTTTTCATCATACAATTGACAAGTGGATAAAGATATTCCATTGTATCTAGTTGTCATGTCAAAACGAGATGCATGACATTTTGGGTTTTCAATACATTTGCACCAGCATTCACCTTCAGATTCAACATAAAATCTTTCAAAATGATTTAATAAATGAGTATTTTCTAATTTTTTTGGACGAACTCTTTGTAAACAAGATCTGTAATTAAATAAATTTTCTAAAATAAATTATTATTCATTTTTTCTTTTTGTACTTTATTTATCCTGAACTACCCCAAATTTTGATTGTTTTGTCAAAAGATCCACTTGCCAAGTCACCGTTTGGAAGTACTACCATTTCCCATATACCATCACTATGACCTCTGAGGTTATTTATGATTTTACCATCGTTGCTGCGTATCTTTATTATATTGTCAGGCCAAACAGAACCACTTGCCAAGTCTCCGTTCGGAAGCACAGCAAGTGCAAGCACACCACTACTATGATAGGTATATGTGTCATTTAGCCTCCATCATTACTCCAAATCTTGATTGTTCTATCATCAGATTCACTCGCTAAATCTCCGTTTGGAAGAACGGTCAATCCTTTTACATATTCTTTATGACCAGTGAGCGTTCGTTTTAGTTTGCCATCATAGGTCCAAATCTTGATTGTATTATCACCAGATCCGCTAGCCAAGTCTCCACTGGGAAGCATGGCCAATGCACACACATCACCACTATGACCATCAAGCGTTTTCTTGTACTGCCTATCACTACTCCAAATTTTGATCGTTTTGTCCCAAGATCCACTAGCAAAATCTCCATTTGGAAAAACCGCCAATGAAATCACCCAACTATTATTACCAGTAAGTGTCTTCGATACTTTGCATTCAAGGCACCATATCTTGATTGTCTTGTCTTCAGAACTACTCACTAAGTTTCCGTAGTGAAGCACGGTCAATGCGCGTACAGGACCACTATGATCTGTGAATGTTCTTTTTAGAGATCCATCAATAGGATTCCATATTTTGATTGTATTATCATTCGAGCCACTAATCAAGTCTCCGTTGTGAAGCACAGTCAATGCACGCACTATGCTACTATGACCTGTGAGTGTTCTTAAATGTAGCTAGATGACTGTTACAAGTTTCAAACGACAACTATCTATTTAATGAAATTTATATAGCTTACCTCAGTAATTTTGTTGGTGAAGTATATTTCCTAAAAAAAATAGAAAATAACATATTAAAATAAGCTTATAACAGGGTGCGGAATAAATAATGACACAACATTCAATTCTTTTTTTTCATCCTAACCTTTGAATTTTTAAAAGCTAAAATCAACGCTTGAAAGCGGAGAACTTGCTGTTTTATATTCAATAAAACTTGTAATAAACTAAATTTTTTTAAAGAGAGCTTAACACCGATACCTATAATTTAAAATAATTCTAAATTTACATTTTTAGGGATACTCTTAAACTAAACAGTTTTCAATTTATTTTTAATATTGAATAGAAGTTATTTATCAATAAATTTGTTTAGAAAAATTATCAATATTTAACGTTTTTGAAATAATTCGAACCTTAATTCATTCGTATGATTTTCTCTTTCTTTGTTGCTTGTTGAAAAAGTTCTTTTAAGTGTTCCGTCTCTAGGATTCCATATTTTTACTGTTTTATCAACAGAGCCACTAGCTAAATCTTCATTCGAAAACACTGCAAATGCACGTATCCAATTAGTATGGCTGATGAGTTCTTTTTTCAAAGTTCCATTAATTGGATTCCATATTATTATTGAATTAGCATTTGAACCACTTACCAAATCTCCGTTTGGAAGAGAAATTAGGATCCACACAGGAAAATGAGCTTTTAATGTTCTCTTCACAGTTCCATCTTTAGGATTCCATATTTTAATTGTTTTATCGAAAGAGCCACTTGCCAATTCACCATTTGTAAGTACAGCTAGAGCTCGTACATGAGAACTATGATCAGTGAGAGTTCTAATCAGATTTCCATTACTTGGATTCCATATTTTCACTCTTTTATCATTCGAACCACTTACCAAATATCCATTTGGAAGGACAGCAAGTGCATTCACATCTCCACTATCATGATCAATAATGGTTCATTTCAGAATACTATCATTAGGATTCCATATTTTTATTTCCTGATGAGAACAACTTCCCAAGCCTCCATTTGTGAATATAACTAATGCTCGAACATAAGATCTATGACCAGTGAGAGTTCTGATCAGATTTCCATTACTCGGGTTCCATATTTTTACTGTTTTATCATCCAAGCTACTTGACAAATAACCGTTCGGAAGGACAGCTAGTGCATTTACATCATTATGAACGAAAATGGTCGTTTTCAGAGTTCCATAATTAGGATTTAGTATTTTTATTGTATCATCGTAAGAGCCAATAGCTAAGGCTCCATTTGGAAGGAGAGATAATGCAGAAACTTCACTATCATGATCTACAAAACTAAAATATTTAAATAATAAAAAAATTAAATAAAAACTTTTGTTTTAAAGCGCAAAAATAAAAATTGCCAGAATATTCCTTACCTTAAAGATTGTTGATTGGTAAAAAGCAATAGACTTAATATTATTATTATGAAAAAATAAAAAATTGATTTAAACATTTTAGAATAAATGAAATATTGTTTTATCAAATATTTTTACTATTCTTTGGGTGATGATAAAAAAATGTCAATTTTTCTAACTTTTTTAGCTTTTTAATTAAATTCTTTAATTTTACTTTTTAATTTAGTTCAAACTTTTTATTAATTTTAAAACTTTTGAGAAAATACTTGAGAAACTGCTCACTACTCTTCTCATTGAAAATTACTTAAACTTGTTTTAAAATCTTCTCTTATCTCGAATTTAAGTTGCTTTTTTTTTAAATTTATTTCTTATATTGAGTCTAATCTTGGTGTTACATTTCACTCGTACAAAAAATCTGTAAGTGTATTCAATATTAATCTTTATTCTTTTTAATTTATATGATAGCTTTATATGCTATGTAATTTTTGTATTATCCTAAATGTGAACAATTTTAATTGGAACAAGGAGAAATTCGGTAAAAAATTTGTTTTTTAATGGGATATTAGATGATTTTTTAAAACAAAAATTTAAAGATAAAATTTTACGGCTTGATATATTTCAAATTCTAAACCAAATTCTTCATATTTTCTTCTAAATTTTTATAAATATCAAATTATAATTATAATTTACAAATTACACAGGCAGGTTAATGAACAGCTAAAATTAATATTTATATAATTTGAATTTTTAAAAGAAATTTTAGTTGAATTCTTAAATCTATTTTGCTAAAGTCTTTCAACATTTGGTATGAAAGTATAAAAAAAATTTTTTTGATTTGCTTAAAATTTCGCATATTATAATTCTTAAAAAAAAATTAAATTCTTTGTTTTTTTCTTTTTAAATTTTTCTTTTAAAACATGAAATCTAATATTTTTTATTTACTTACTAGTTTTTATTTGATTATTTCTATTGTTAATTCTGCAAGATGAGCTGGATTTCATATGTTACCACCAATACGTCTTAACATTAGATTTACAAATGATGTTATGAATGTAGTGAGAAGATCGCATGAATTACAAGAAGCATACCGTACTGGACCCACACATGTGAGATTTACCAGTGTATTTTTACAATGTAACCAAAATCCTTTATATTTGGCATTAAGCGCAGAGTCAATTGGTCAAGAGTTTCCCGTTTCTAGTAGAAGCTTTAGTCATTACCTATATCTAATGGAAGTTTACGATAATTACAATAAAAATGATGTACCTTCACCTATAATAAGTTCTGGAGTAATTCCACACCCGAATGAAATCAATGTTGACGTCTACACACATGTAAATAGGGATTATGTTATTTCTGATTTAAGAAGCAGTTTTTCATCTACTCGTATTAGAATGTTCGATAATTTAGCCTTGTTGTTTGTTGAGTCGATTAGATTAAGCGGAGTTCGTGATGTAGTTCAAAATGCTATTAATGTATATCCTCATGTAATTAACTTTAGAGAATATTCAGTTCTTATAAATGATTGGGAATCCTTGACTAGGAGACTCTATTCGCATATTCGAAATGCTGAATCTGGTGATCCGGATCCTGACTGGCAATATAATCCTACTTATTTTAATGTTAGAGTTCCTCACATAAACTCTATATTGAATGCCAGATCATTCCAGATTCCAACTTATTTGAGATGTCATAATCCTCAACGAAAACAGAGACGAAGACGAAGACCGAGACTGATGATACTTGTGGGTTAATAAACGAAAATGCGCAATTACCATCAACAAATTTTTATCCACTAATACAAACTAATGTACGCTTATTTAACCCTTATCAATTGGTTACCAATTATTCTGATTACCGATGTTGGCTAGAATGTTTTTATTCACAACCACAGTGTAAAGCTTCACAATTTTATAAAACGAAGAATCAATGCCTCTTATTTAATGAAAAGGTTTATCAAGCAAGAGAAAGAGGATTTGATGCTTATACCTTGCAAACATTTGATTTTAGCCAAATTTCACAAATTGTTAGCTCTGAATGTTGTCATTTTTATAATTGGAACTGTTGTTGTCGAAGGAGAGATGATACCATTGTGGAAATACCACATCTTTTTGGTTTTAATGATTGTATAGATCATAGAAGTTGCGATACAGGTTGGTATAAAGGATGGAAATGCGATGCAAACGAGTCATAAGATATATGACAGGAATTTTTTAAAAATATTTTATTACTGAATTATTTAAACGAGTTATTGCAGTGCAATTTAGGAATTTTCCCGATCCTTGAATACAACATTCCATCCCTTCCAAATATGCAAACAATATTAATTATTTCATCACCTATTGCAGAATCGTTAAACATAATAATAATTGTTATAAAATAATATTATGAATTTATTTCTTTTTATCGGCACAAAAAAGATATTATTCAATTATTTTCTAATTTAATAGAATTCTTTAAGTTAATGTTAAAAATGCGGTGAATCTTTGGGTCTCCAGAAATATATGTAATCAAAACTGAATACTTTCAATTTTTTATTAGTGCATCGAAATGTACAAAGTTCGGTTAAAAGAAAAACATCTAAGATGTTCTACTTCGATGGCATAAACCACTTATTCACAACGTCTCTCTTAAGAAAATATGGTCATCTTGGTCAAAGCCATATTATTAAGAGCCATTGTCTGATATGTTCAGACAGAGCTATATACTGATGTCAACCGGTTTGGCTGAAATTTTCACCATACCTTCTATATATCAGTACTAGGTTACGAAAAAAATTTTAGCCCTGAAAACTGTTTCCTTGAGGAGTTATAGCCTTCTCAAGTAATAGCGGTCGGCGATTGTTTCAACTAATTGATAAAAATAAACTACAATTAAAACTGAATAAAAAAGTTTTGACGGATGCTCCTTATTGAGAGTTTTTGTCCAACTCGAAGCAGAGCTGAAATTTTAATCATAAGACCTGCAAAGAGGAGCAAAGACTACAGCAGAAATTTTTATTGATTAAGTGTTTTTTTATTCAAAAAACAACTATGGCATAGATATAGAATTTGCAATTTTTGAAAAGGTTCTTTCGTTCTAAGAAGAGAAAACCAGAAAGCTTTGAAAATAACGTTAAATCAGAGGTGATAGAGAATGCTGCTTCCCTCAAAATGAAGATGTCCAAGTGTCGTTGTGATCTACATAGAAGAAGCAGCTCTAAGGGCTTGTTCTGGTAGTTCTTAAAGTTTGATAAACGAAAATTTACTCGAATGACTGATAAACATAATTGGTATCTAGTAGATATCTACTACGGATATTAACTACTAATCAAACAGCAATGAATAATCAAATACACGGTGTAACATAACCTTTTTCTCCCCCCCTACACGACCTAAAGGACAGATAATATCAGAAAGTATTTATACCAGGTTAAAGCCCATCAAAAACTAGATTTATGAGTGTAATTGATATTCCGT